ATATTTGCCATATAAAATCTGTAAAGACCTACATGAATAAAAATATTTTGATTTGATTTAAGTCTGTCTGTCTACGTATCTCGCTTGTCTCTGTCATAGGAGTTTGCTTTTTAAACTGTTTTAGACTTGAGAGTTTAGATATGGCAGAGAAAATACTGTGCATAAGTACTTACTGCTCAGGAATGCAATGCAGGAGGCGCAATATATTTTGTGAAGTCCGTAGTGCTGTTTAATCGTAATTCATAATACATTAAAATAAGCTTTCAGCCAGTACTTACTCATTTCAGAAACCGTTTCATATTTTTTTTTTATAATTAGAACATGGCTTCATTGATAACAGCTCTTAATGAGATCACTCTTTAGGGGGAAATTTTGATAGTAATTAGGACCACTTGTCCCATTGCTAGGGACATCGCTCTTCATTTAGGGACCCTCTATATAAGATACATTTTGAGACCTTCATAGTGATTTTTATGTGACAATTACGACGTTCCATTTGTAAGGTAAAATTTTCCTTGTTTGTCCAATTACATAAAAAAACTTTTCAGCCAGTATCCATTCCAGATTTTTTTCAAACTTAAGTAATTTAATTTTAGTACTTACATTGGCAATGTACCTATTATTGTTATTACTACTAATTTATTAGTACTAACGAAGGTAAAAGAATCTTAGGAAGGTAAAATTATCTTCTACTACATATAGTAGAAGATAATTTTACCTTCCAGCAATGGTATTTCTGATCCGATATGATATTGAAGCTTTCAAGAAAACAGCTCATTCCTTTAAGAAGGAATGAGCTGTTTTCTTGAAAGCTTTCTTGAAGGCCGGCAACGCACGTTGTGTTCCGGGTGCTCATGGCGGCGGCAATCACTTACCATCAGGTGATCATAATCACCAATAATCAATATGGTGGTAAGGTGATATGAAAAAAACATTATTTTGCAGATGTATGCCAATTGTGCCAATATAATAAAACAACGTTTGTTTAAATTTTAAAAATATGTAATTCGAAATACATCTAGCTGAACTACAAATAACAGGAAACTAGTTTAAAACAGATTTTGTACACGTTTGTTCTTAAAAATATTATGATCTTTTACAGGGGTCTCCAAACTATGCATTAGGGGTATAATGATTTTTCCAGAATGTTCCAAAGGCCAAAACAGTTTCATACATTTCATTGAATGAGGAGTTATTTTGCGTAAGTCCATTTCATTACTTAATGGATTTGTATTGTTTAGTCAGTAGTGGGAAAGGTAACATAACGTTTCCACTAGCTGTGATAGCTAGGTTTCCATACTAAATGTTAAGTTGTCACATAGGCTATTCGTATCGGAATATAAAAGATCCATTAAATAATAAAACAATTTCCTTTTTCTGCTTTTAACTATATTTCTAGACACTGGTCTAAAGTAGTCGACCTATGATAGTACTAGCATTAAGCTGTCGTGGATCGCATTTGGTCAGCGGGCCGTAGTTTGAACACCCCTGGCCTATGGGCCAACAGAGATGTAAAAAAGATAGAAATGATTCTGATTTACAACTATAGAGTGTCGTTACACGTGTTCACATCAGTGTCTAGGAAAGCATCTTCAGACATCGCTTTTCATTCAAGGAGGAGGGGGAGGGTAGGAGGAGGGGTGAGTGGGGAGGGGGAGGAGTCTTTAGTAATTATAACTTCTGGCTCTAGTGATAGCAATCGTTTTTAAGGTATAGGACAATGTCTTGCAAGCATTTGCTCGAAATATAGGATGCGGAAAGTAAAGATGAGGTAGGTTTATTTTTTTAATTACTAGCAATGCAGGACGCATGCGGTGATACTATTTTTTTTTTAAACTTCAATCATTTTACAAAATTGAAATATGCAAGATTATTGTGTATACATCTTGGCTGAATCTGTGTAACGAATGTTAGGTAGAAAAAAAATATGACTTATCAAATATACCTTAATATAAACAAGTTAATTAGAATATAAATTATTTCTATTTCTCTACTTCTATAATCTTAACGTTTAACTGTACAATTTGACTATCTAAAGCATTTTTTTATATACAAGTTAAATATGCATACATTATTTTTTCCAGCATCCTGAACTTTCATTGCATATCCTGATAATACGATGACCCATATCTATTCTAAGTTTTATTATAAAAAAAACGCCATGATTACTTGCTTCATTAATTCACCAGTTGCCATTAATGAAACTGCCAGTGTTTAACGGAAATATGCAACATGGATTATTTTTCATGCCTAATTCACGTAAAAATTTTTATTTTAAAAATTACATAATTGTTAAATACAGTGACAGTACTGTTTTTAACCTTAAGGAGTAGAAAGTAGAGAGGACTCGAGGATGATGAGATCCTGATCATGACTGTGGCAATTTAAGGTTCATATACTACACTATGTCAAAATAGAAAATCAACAAGAGCAGCTAAGAGTAGGATTTTGAGAGATCCGTGGATGCTGTGAGATCCTGGGCATCAGGAAATTTAAGATTCACATACTCGAGAATCAACGAGAACACTTAAGGAAAGTAGGAATTAGGGGAGCTTGCGGATCCTGTTGGGTTCTGGGCATGTAGTGATCGCTGTGGAGATTTCTATGTATCTAAATATTATATATTTTATATTTCGACAAATACTAAACCTAAACGAATACTCTTTATATTATATTTCATAAACATCAATGAACTTTTTCTAAATCTTATTTATATTTTTTCTACATTTAATATCTCTGTTACTTGACTTCTCGAGTTTTCTATATTCCACCCACACTGACGAATTATGAAAATTTACTAATATGTACAAAAATACAAATCTGATACTTGTGTATAAACAGTATAATATAAAATACCTATTACATCTGTTTGTTTCATCGCTTACTTACTTTGATACGAGCGTAACCATCATCAACCAAAATTTCTTTACTATTATTTATATGTACAATACATTCATATAGCTGTACGACTTCCAAGACATGCACTGTTCACCCCTGGAATATAGGTGAGTTATCAGTTTTTAATATACCTAATCGATATCTAAGATTAAATTACAATTTAAGGGCAATAGCTGCCTTTACATGACATATTCTTTCAGCCGCAATCGGGATCTAGCGCGATTTAATGCACGGGAGCGCGATTGCATGAACGCACGAACAATCCCTCTAACGCGCGCGATTACCCGTGTTCTTCAGATACTATACATTATTTTATTTTGATATTCTTCAAATTTCATAAATACTTTTAAAATTTATAAATTATCCATAAATCTGTAATTAGATCCGCTATTTTGCAATTATAAGTATTCATTGCAAAAACGATCGAAAGCATGCTCTATTGAAGCATGCGTGACTGCGCGAGCGGATCTCTCGGTCTCGTTATTTACATGCACACACTTTCATGTGTAAAAGCCGTATCGCGCGTGAAAGAGGGTACGTGTAAAGGCTAACTGCCTTTACGACTAATTTTGTTCAATATTAAATTACTATATAGTTCTGTGACCTTTTATTCATCATTGTCCATAGTCACTCATAACAACGTTAACAATTAAACAGCTATTTGACAATACATCATACAACACTATATCAGTAATATTTTAAGTACATTTTTACGATACTAAACATTTTGTAAACTTACTTATTGTACACATTATATAAACGGGATTTTTACCGTAATAATATTATTTATGAGCTCCTGATATTTTGACGCTGTTGCGCCTTGTTCACGGGTGGAACTAATAAATAATATTATCATGATAAAAATCCCATTTATAAAAAGTGTACAATTGTGAACAACCGTTTTAAACTGTTTAAACTGTTTTCACAGTTTAAAATGTCCTTATCATATTTATTTGTACATAATATACAAGGTGAAATACAGATTAATTCAATTATGAATATTGAATTATTTATAGTATTTGTTTAAAAGAATATATATACATTTATTTTAGTGTAATATTCCACAGATATTTTTTAACAAATGATAATGATTAATATTATATAATGTATTTTTTTTTAAATATGTACAAGTCAAAATAGAATGTATAAAATAAATCATACAATATTAGTTAAAAATCTTTATTACAATTATATTTAAAATAAAATTATTTATCTAAAAGAATAGAATTTATTTACAAGTATAAACACACACTTGTACACTTTATACAAACGAGATATTTGCCATGATCATATTATTTAAGAGTTTTTATCATATGTCGACCGTAACATATTATAATAAATTCTTTTGTATAATGTGTACAATTGTAAACAATCGTGTAATAAATTTAAAACACCATTGTTGTTCACTATTTTAATATATGTACATTTAACATAATTACATAACTATGAAATAAAAATAAATTTGATAATAATTAATTAAAAGGGTATTTAATATTTCAATACTATACATTAGTCTCTTAATTATATAATATAATTAAGAGACTAATGTATAGACTTAATTATATCTTAATTATATTATATTACATATCTCCAAGACTTTTATCCTAGACAGGGTAGCCATAGACATCGTTAACTGCCGACGTTGGAGTGAACACAACATATGACATGCTCACATGTCGCTCGGCATATTTGAATCAATTCTCTTGGATTGGCTTGGTATCTCTTATTTCTAAATTAATTGTCTTTCAGGACTGGAGAGTCACTTACTAATATACACTAACACGTACATAGTTTTTGGCGACTGCCAGACCTCACGACCCTTAACTCGGAGTAAACCACTAGACCACCTATGAATAGTCTTAATAAGTATATCAGGTGGGGTCTCACTGCGGGCGATGCGCTTAGAGGGCGCGGGCGGCGCTGCTGTTGGGGCGGCGGCGCAGGCGCAGGGCGCGGGCGCGCGTGGCGCAGGTGCGGGCGCGGGGGCGCGGGCGGCGCGCGGCCAGCGGGTGCGGGTGGGGGTGGGGGTGGGGGTGCGGGTGGAGCGGGTGCGGGTCGGGGTCGGGGCGCGCGCGGGGGGGGCCCGCGCGGGGGGCGCGGCGTCAGCGCGGCGGCGCGGCGGCGGCCGGCGGCGCCCAGCGCAGGCACTCCGCGTCCACGCACCGCGCCCGCTCCGCGCGCCGCGACACCTCCTCCAGCACCTCCTGACGTTACCACACCACACATTTTTACCCAAGGTGTGAAAGTTATACGGAAAGCAGACATAACCTCCTGCTGACATTACCATACCGTTTATTTTTATCGAAAGGGTGAAAGTTACACGGACAGGAGGCATTGGCATCTCCTGAGGTCAATACTCATATTTACCCAAAGGGTGAAAATTACACGAAAAGGAGGCATTAGCACCTCCTGAGGTAATCACTTATATTTACCCAAAGGGTGAAAGTTCCACGGAAAGGAGGCATTAGCACCTCCTGAGATCACCACTCATATTTACCCAAAGGGTGAAAGTTACACGTAAAGTAGACATTAGCGCCTCGTAAATTTACCACACATTTTTACCCAAGAGGTGTCATGTCAGGGTACTATTTCAGGTTAACTACCACGCGGTTCCCCCTAGAAACCATTCTTGGTGGATTTTACAAAATGTGTTAACTGACCTGACCTCATGCTCATCTTATCATCCTCCACTGACGGGAGTCAGCGTAAACCGTTAGCGAAGGCAGAAACAACATGGCATTATCGTTATGCTGTTCATATATATAGCCGACGGTTACCACTTACCATCAGGTAGTCGTTATCTTAATTGTCATACCAATAACATAAAAACACAACTGTAATGACTTATGAACCATCTCCCAAAACTGGCAATATTCATTGAGCCTCATCTTTATTTGTCGCCACCGTGGTATAAGAAAGGACCTAGCGGATAAAGCTTCTGAAACACTAGGTCATTTCACTACCATATATTCAAAGGGCGTGAAGACAAATATTTTCTTTGGAAGTCAAATCTGGGGCGAGAAATAGTGTGAAAATTCCTCCTTTTACCACCACCTTTTTAATATCACCTTCAAACAATTTCAATTATTGCAAAAAATCAGATTTTTGAAAAGAGCACATTAGAATCGCCTTCTGATTCTGAATTCACTCTGTGAGCTTCACTCAGTTTTCAACTTCAATAAACCATCTCCAATAACCAACTGATCATAATATCTCTAACTCATAGCCCCAATAGCCAAATTCCAACAAACTTAGATTTAAATATCCAATAATTGCACAAACCTGTTTCTTCAAAACAATATGTTTTCCCTTCCAATACTTCATCAATCCCCGTTCCTGCAGAGTGGACACGATGTCAGAGGACGCAATAGCGAGATCCTTGCTGAGGTCTCTGATGCAGAGCGTAGCGCCTGAAGCAGAACATAACCGCCGCAGAAGTGCCTCCTTCCAATAAGATCTGTATGAGATCAGCCCCAGATCAGAGAGAGGTGTTTCTGGAGAGCCCACCTTTCCTTCCACCTTGGTTAGGAGATAGCCTGTTGGGAAAGAAATATTATTTATGTTAAATTTGCACAAAATATACCAAAATTTGACCTGCAGGTTTACTGTAGTAAGTAATTAATTAGTTTCAATGGTATATTGTTAATAAAATGATATTCACTGATTTTAGAACGAAATAAAAATGGCTGGAAACTAAATCAAAACAGCTTCTAGCTGTGCCCGCGGTTAAACTTATAGCCTATATGTATTCTGATATTTATTTTGATGAAACTTTACAGCTATATTGCTGTAAAGTTTAAACATCCATCCATACTCACAAACTTTCGCGTTTATAATATTAATAAGATATAAAACATCAGATACAGGTAGATTTTACGGGAGATAATTTCTCATTTGTTAAGCTGCAGCAACAGTCAACTCTAAACCTTATTTTTTCAGAGACCACTTTCGGTCTTTATCAATATATATGTTGAAATCAAAATTTAATTTCTTCACTAGTGCAAACGATGGCCGCTCGCTTATCCATCAGGCAGAGCGTATGATTGATTGCTAACCTCGTATAGGACACAAACAAAAGTCATTGTTCCAGAAGCGAAGAGCAATAAATTAATCGATGTATTGAACACCGTTGTGCTAGGAAAGCAGTGTACTGTGACGTTGCCGCTCATTGAACATACATAGGGTTCCGTAAGAATTGTGGCTAGATTTTTTTGTCAATATATTTCTATGGTCTTGGGTATATTATTTTCTACCAACAGCAACGACTGTATATATAAATATATATATACCATTATATACAGAAATCATCCTAATACAAATAAACCTAATATAAACAGTGTTAATCATATTATTTTTATTCTACCACTCATTAGAAAAGCAGTCTCTTCACAAGAAGAAAGAGCAAGTTTGCGAGTTGCTCATTACTTTATACATATAGTATATGCTACAACACATTTGTCTCTATCTTTGCATATAATAAAATCGTTTCCTGTGTTTGTTATAGATTTTAAGTAAAAACGCCTGGAGAAATGAAAATGAAAATTTCAGACATGTTAATGCGTAAAATTAAAGTTTGTATTTTTTAATGACTGTTACTTTATAACTCTGTAATTAAAAAAATATTTGTATGACTATGTTTTCAGATCCGTACCACTTTTTTATTCGAATCATTGGTCGGTCGTTTTTTTAGTGAAAATTGAAAATATTATTATTGAGTTCTGATATTTTGTCAAATTTACAAGTGTCATGATCATAGTTAAACTGATGAGCGGGTAGATGGTAAATAAATAAATTGCGGGAATGTGCGTCACATGTCACACGTCCTCGTTTGTTGCTATTATTGAAACTCTCTAGATATTTATCTCGACAAACTATACTCACTATACCTTCACTTAATATAAGTATACTCTCTGATTGCGATTTTTAAGATAACATGATTTTAGGACATAATTCTTGAGACATAACAAGCCACGTGGTCAGCGTTGCGGAAAAATATATCAGGTAAAATATAAAATAAACAATATACTCGTATTACGGAATCTTTCGTTTATAGAGATGCGGGGCTTGCATATCGAATAGTTTGCCAACTGACCGTGAACTGTTGGAAGGAAACCATACACGTAAGATTCTTCGCTACGTCAGTTACATATATATTTCTATGTATATATGTAAATGACGTAGGGTATTGACATATTTTACACAAGTAAAACTTGTTTATAAACACTTATTTATTTATTCATTTCAATATTACAACACCATTACAGTATATCCAAATCGGTGTTGGAACTTAGTATACATATAACATGTACGTTAATGTAGGAACATATGACCAAGAATACTAAAGTATTTGAGTATGATAAGACAGCGGAGGATGATAAGATGAGCATGAGATCAGTTTAGTTGCATGCACATCATCATCATTGCAAATTCAATATATTAACAGTATTAGTGCATATTGTGGTTTGGATGAAAATCTTTCTACATCCCTAATTTTATCTTCGATTAAGAAGGCAAGGCTTAGGTACACCTGCATTCTTCCACAAAACACACTTCTGCATTTATACTATTCGTAAACTTTCTGTTCATAAAAAAATCAACTAAATCTTTTAACATGAGCAGTAAGTAACATACTGCTAACTTAACGTAAACTTCTGCACTAATTCTGTTAAAGCGACACAATTTGACACTCTGTCCTTTATTAATCGACTGATTTTTGATTAATCGTAATAGGTCGATTAATAAAAAATTAGTTGTTAGAATAAAAAATTAACACCCAATTTCTATTTGAATGGTTTTAAAACGCAATTATGGTTGTCACCGACAAAACAATGGGTAATTAAACGAACATCAAAATTCGTGGCATCTACAATTCGTCTCGCCACTCCACCGTGCCCCCTGGCCCCCAAAGGGGGTCGGCTCGAGTCTAGACGGCAGACCGATCTATACTGCAGTGCATCGATCGGGGGTCGACGGCCGCGCCGCGTCGCCACCCCATGGGGGTGGCAAAACAAACCCCCGTTTACGATGTTGACCGCTCAGGTGTGCGTCGGGCGTAAATTGAGGTTATAGATTTTTACGTCTATGGTTTTTATTAATTCGCCATAACTGTTTCGTTTAATTAGTAATGATTTGAATTCATAACTAGCTGTTACCTGAAACTTAATTCTCATAGTGACTTCCGATGGGAGCGGGTTCGATTCCTCGCACGGTGCGAGGTATGATTGTTTGTATCGGTCTGGGAGTTATGTATGTATGTTATTTATTTAATTTACTCGGAAATCCAAGGCTATTTACAAACATTGTAATAAATAACATCAGAGAGGCCACTTATAGGTTTTCACAGATAGAAACATAGTTCAAAATAAATTTACAGTACTAACACGAGACGCGTGTATGTGTCATAACATCAATTAAAAAAAACGATAACAATATACTAATTAAAACATGTGGTACAACCTGTATGTATATATAAAAAGTATATATTAGTAGTCTAGTACCCTCTGTTTAACTTGGGACTACATGGCGTTGTATGAATTGTCCCAGGATATTATTATTATATATACAACTAGCTGCACCCGCGACTTCGTCCGCGTGAAATTTAACTCCATTTTTCTAAGATAAAAGTAGCCTAAGTTACTCCTTATTACATCAGCTACCTGCCAAAAAGTCCCATAAAAACCGGTTCAGCCATTTCAGAGATTAGCCGGAATAAACAGAAATGTACACATAAAACAGGTGTATGTACCTACCGTATTTATATTCATATGTATTGACGACCTCGGTGGTCTAGCGGTGTAGCATACCGCTTTACGACCTATGGTCGCGGGTTCGATTCCTCGCACGGTACAAACATGTTTGTATCGGTCTGGGTGTTCTCTATGTATAATATGTATGTATTTAAAAAAAATATATCTATACACACATACATATACGTATGAGTTATCTAGTACCCATAACACCATCTTTAGTTAGCTTAACTTGGGACTAGATGGCGCTGTGTAAATATATATATTATGTCTGGTTATTTCAATAGAGATATATATATATATTGTATGTAAGTAGTAAAAACTGGTTATAGTCGTTTTATGGCGCAAAATATTACGTTATACGTATCATTTTATAGATGAAAAGAGAGAAGACGTCCTAAAAAAAGATGGATGTGTTATATGAATAAAAGGAATGCTCAGATATGACGGCCGACAGAGATCAGTGGAAGAGAATGACATACTGCGCCGACCATAAATAATGGGATAAAGGCAAGGCAATGATGATAATCATTTTATATATTTCAGCCATGAAATAGTAGAACGTGGTCATTACTAGTTTAATAATGCGATTGTTTCTTGTGAATCTATGCATATATTAAATAAAAATTGTCTGTCTGTTTGTTGTAGCATATCTCTGATTGTCTGGACAGATTATGACAGGACTTTGTTTTCGATAATTTATAATAATTAAAAAAAAATAAGTTATCTTACCCACGTGCGAAGTCAAAGGTAACGGTTAGTAAATAAATAAAATAAACTAATACGAGTATAACTACGTAAAGTATTTATATAAGAACCACTGTGCGAACCATAAAAGTAACATTGTATAAACATGTTTGTATAACAACAAAGATAATAATTTTGTATGAAAAAAAAAAGACAAATTCTATCTTTACTAAATCTGACTAGGTTTATGTAACCTAGTCAGATTTATTACCGACTAGTTGTTCGCGCGACTTTGTCCGCGCGAAATTGAACTTTATTATTCTAATATACCAGCTACCTGTCAAATTCGGTCCAGTCATTTCAGAGATTAGCCGGAACAAACAAACAGACAGACAGACAGATAAAAATTGTAAAAAATGTTATGTTGGTGTATGTACCGTATTTATATTCATATGCATGCAGTAAAAAACGGTTATTTCAATATTACAAACAGACACTCCAATTATATTTATATGTATAGATAGAATTCGTTTACATTGAACAAGTTTAATAGATCACTCCTGAAAATATTTTAAGACATCGCCAAATCAGTTTATAAAAGACGAAGTTCTGGCATAACGAATCTAAAAAAATACACCTGAATAGAGAACTTAATCCTTTTTTCAAGTCAGTTAACGAACAGGGTGTACTCCTCAATAGACCAGTTCCGAGAGTATTTTAAGACTTTCCCAAATCACTTTATAAGAGCCGTTCTGACCATACCCTAACCTAAAAAATACACCTCATTAGAGAACTTAATCCTTTTTACAAGTCGGTTAACGAACAGGGTATACTCACTGAAGTCGATGAGCAGTCTCCCGTAACCCTGCCTCTGGTACGGGGGCAGAGTCAATATGCAGGACACGTTGTAGTTCAGGAATGAGTTCTTTTCCTGTACAAACAAAATATAATCATAATATTAATTCCTTAAACAAAAACTTTGTACTCCTTTATTTTTAAGCTGTCCCGGTAAAACGTTATTTTTCCATATAAATTAATTTCGCTTTTAAAAAAAACGATAAATAAACGCGATGAATAACGTGACGTTGATGGTAGAAGGTTGTAAATTTAGGATTGTATGTATATTTTATCCAAATCTTAATATAAATGAGATAATTAATAATTGTAAATAAATAAAGATTTTTTTTGGGGTTGATTTACCCTTATCACTTAAGGGTATAAAAAATAGATAACAACCTATACCTACTAAGTATACAAATAAAAATTTCATAGAAAATTTAGTAGTTTAGATCCCATCGCGGATAAACAACTTGACATAAAATTTTTATATTTTAAGACTACATGAACGGTAAGGAGACTTTTTTTGAGTAATTATAATAGAAAAGAAGCTGACGGCCACCCGATGGTAGTTGGTTACCGTCGCCTATATAAGTAAACAGCACCACAGACATCATGTTAACATGTGGCGTTCATGTTACCACTCACGCCGAGGACTAAAATAACATTTACTTCCTGCAATTTCTTACACTGAGTTAATCACATTACTCCACATTTTTATAAGGTTTAAATAAAAAAAAATTTCCTACTTCCTTCTTTGGTAAAGTTGATCAATTTTATTAATTCTATTATATACTTATATAGGACATTTTAGCAGTTTAAAACTCGATATCCAGAATTCTGGACGTTGATAAATCAATGAAGTGTTTTTGAGTTTATACTCGAAAAATATTTAAATGATTTTCCATCTATATAGATATCTGGAATATAACGCGAATGCGATACCTAAGATCTATATTATACAATGAATTATCGGTACGAAGAAGGGCGTGTTGCTAATAATATTAGTTGGGACAAAATGAATATATTAACCAAAAATAATGCAGCATACACAATCAGGTGACGATGGCGACAAAAGACGTCCCCCTCCCACGCTGCCACTGACAATTTATCGATGTGAACACGACCTATCCGTCTCCAGTCTAGACGGTGCACACACCTAACCGAATAAATCTCAATGCAGTGTGCGTATCATACCGCGGGGATGCTTAGTTTCAGGGTTGCCAACCTTAAAACATTTAACCTTGTAAGATGAACTTAAGAATGTAAGTATAGTGATTTTTTTATTAAAGTGGCAAGTTCTTCTTCTTTCGTTTCAATGGCAACTAAATGTATTTACCAATGCACTTGTATTCTACAATACGCTTATATGGTGGGTATTGTAATGCATTTAGGAGTACATCGTAATATTAGGCCATGTCGGTGTTCGGCTCTTTAGGGTCTTTGAGTTGAGGTCCAAGTCACTTCAACACAAGTCACCAGTCACAAAAATGCGACCGTTAGGTTAGGCGCATTTTTTTAGAACTTCCTCTGTGCAGAATGATGGACACAAAGGACAGGACAATAGGTGGACCATAGCCTGGTGCTCCGCAGTCGCAAGCATCGCTTGAAGTGACACCGCATTTTATTAATTTGAACCTGCAGCAGCCCACCTGGGTTCCCAGTCTATTAAGGAAGCTATATCAGGCCGCTGCCTCAGGGCAGGTGTTCAACAAACACAGCTGATGGGTAAACAAAGTTCAATGGAACAGGATGGTTTGACTTCTATAAGTCGACTTGGTTTTATGTGGGTTCTTGGTCAGAGCTCTAGTTCTTCTCAAAAAGGTCTTCCTGCTTGTGGTAAGTGATTACCGTTGTCTATGAGTACCCGCGATATCGTAGGAAATGCGGATAATTTGCCGGGATTTAAAGAGGAGGTGGGTAGGGTAAGGAATTAGGAAAGGAAGAAGGATAGGCATCCGAAACCTCGATTACCATGCGAATCGCGAAGACTCTTAACGCGTATTCTAAAGAGGTGAGGTATTTTTGCGTTCGAGCGGGCCCATTCGTAATACGCGCGGTCATATAGCCCGCTTTACCACTGGACTCAAATTAGCTCTTTTATTATATCTAATATTCTGACAGATTTTTATAGGCTAAAATTCCGTACACACTTATACATAGAAGTTTTTTTTTTCTTTAATTGGAATCGCCAACTAGCTGACGGCCCACTTGATAGTAATCGGTACCCATCGCCTATATATATGAATAGTACTATGGGCATGACGTTATCATGTGTCATCAGATGTCATGCCGCTTATCCAGTAATATAAGGATAAAAATGTCCTTTTACCGAAGGCTAAAAATATAGTAGTTGAACGAGAAATCTCCAACGCTTGGCATCCCTGCTTAGTTTAAAAATAATCCCTTCTAGACAGCTATTGTAGGATGTATAGTAATTATATTTACTGTGTACACTGTAATGAAACTGCCTTTATAATGAGGTTTCTGGGATTCTATCTCCTATTTATAAATGGAAAAAAGGGTATTACTTTTCAGGAGTGTTTAAAAGTAATTTATTTTATTAACTGCCCCAAGAGATGTTACGAATAGACGTCCTGGCTTATGAAATTAAATTCGCAATTAACTTTCCTAATAAAGTTTTCTTTCATTAGAACTTTCTCCTGACAATGACAACAATATCCGCTCCAATACAGAGAATACACAAATATAAATTGCACCATACGTGGTTCGAACTCACAACTATCGGAACCGACGGATACGCTAAACCAGCGAAATTGTCAAACACGTTCTAGAATTGTTTGTTAAGGAGCTTATAATATTTACTTAGGGCTGGAATGGGGGTTTTTAACGAATCGGGAAGTGGAGACGCCACCCCCCAGGGGTTCATCGACCTGATGCTGCAGACGGTGCAGCCTCGCCGGCTACAGGCGTACCTAAGTTGTACAGTTCACGTGAACTTTCCATTATTTATGTAGAGATGTCTACGAATACGGCTGTGTTTATCGACATCTTGTTTATTTTCTGGTATTAGTTTATTTGCTATGTGGAACCGTCAGACGATTCATTTGAAGATTTCATGCAACTGTATACTAATTTGTACTATAAATGTATGTCTTTTTGCTTCCTTTTCAGCAGTTAACTATTGATCGGATTTTAATAAACTAAAAACATGTATCACTAGGACCGACATAGGCTATCTGGTATAATCAAATCAAATCTTTAATCAGGTAGGTCTATTACAGACTATTATGACATGTCAAATCTACCGTCAGTTCGTAGTGCTTTTGAGTAAAGAAATGACAAGTAACTCAAATGAGCTTGTACGTGTTTGCAAAAATGCAGATTTTTAAATTAAATTAGGAAGAATATCGTGACCATCACTGTAAGCTATTGTAAAAGTATTTTTTGTAAAAACGAATAAAATAATCTAATTTTAATAATTTCGAACTTACCATTACTATATTACTTAGCCTATAATTTATTTAGAAAATAATTTAGAAGAGCAAATGTAGTAACTATTTAGTTATTGCATTGGTAAAAAAGCTTTACCCACAGGATAGTAAGCGATAATTTTTCGAATATTTAACAATAAATCCCGTGATTTTTTCTAATTGTACACATTAACTTTTGTAATTTTCTGCTGAACAACAATTGACAACACGACAAAAAAAGAATGTGCGAAATCGCTCCGTACAACTACGCGTGAGCCCGTGACTAGGGAAAATGGGGATTCATATTTGTTTATATATATTTATTTATTATTAAGATTTAATGCATAATTATAAAAATAAAGGTGTTAAGGCATATTGTGGACTCAAGACCTTACGGCATTTTCTCCGATCAAACATAGCGCAAACAGATTTAAGTGGACAGTGCATACTCCGCTTTTTTTTTATAACTATGGCTCCATTGGAGTTTTAATGATTTTGCTAACATCAAGGTTGGAACAGACAGTTATTATTATAATCTGTGGGTGCGGTATTTTTAGTAATAAGAGTTTTTTGAGTATCTAAAATAAAGGAAACACAAACAACAAAATAAGTTGTTTGTAGGGTAAAATAGGCGAGATTTTTACAAACTCTACCTAGAAATAAGTTAATGTATTTCGTCAAGGTTGGATCAGACTATTTGTATTATAATCTGTGGGTATGTTATTTTTAGTAATCACAGGTTTTTGAGTCTCTAAAACAAAGGAAACACAAAAAACAAAGCAAGTGGCGTCTACAATAGGGAGATTTTTACAAACTCTACTTAGGATTAAGTTAATGTATATGTAGTGTGGAATAAAATAAACTTGTTCGCACAAAAATAAGAAAGAGCACCACGCAAGTTTCATGCTCATTCTTCTTGTGATGAGTCTGCGTTCCGACTGAGTGACAGAACAAAAAAATATGGCCATTCAAAAGTGCTTATATCAAGTTTATTTGAATAAAGATTATTTCTATTACAAAGTTTTACAGCGCTCTGATGAAATTCAGCTGAAATTGCAATCTGTACCCGGATATGCCCGGGTGGGACGGGTCGTCGACCCCAGTGTCTCGAGTCTCCCTGTAGACGTCTTCTACACTTCTACATATAACTAATGTATTGCCGTCTCGAGTTTAAGATCAATGGGGAGACCAAGCTTTGTGGCTGACAGTTCGGATGAGTATATTACTCTTTATGTACTTTAATTACAAATTAACAGAAAAAACGAACAAACTGTTACATAACTTCAGGATTTCTATCCTACATGGGATGATCAGAAGTATTATAACCATTCACGCAACAAGCGTCCACTGGACCACACTATAGCTGGATACATATTTCTTTTATTTGCCACTACCCGCCAGTTTGGCTGCTTTTTCGCGATAAAGGATATGTCTATCTTCGTGATAATCTATCTTTATACTAACTTATTAAAATCAGTTTAGTCATAAAAAATATCAAATATACAATGAAAATGGACACGCTTTTGCAATGTATAATATTAAGCATGTATGTATTTTCTTAAAAAAGCCAATATTAGAAAAGGTTGATTAATAAAAAGAATCATCACAATCGATGTAGACTTGCAGGGTAAAAAATACAGCCAAATTACATCAATTAAAG